CGTGTCCTCAGAATTTCAAAGAAACCTCATGAAGAGAAAAGGTTATTCAAATATTACGATCCATGCTAAGGCGCCCGCGTGGAGTGAAGCGCTCTGGAGCCCCGGTTTAGTCAAGCAGACCGGTGAGTAGTATGTGGGCTGAACTACTCAATCAGGGACGAACGCCTGATAATGTATGCCCAGATGTGCGGATGTTATTTGATTCCTGTACCCGTGATCAATCATCGTCAGTCTGCTGTCCGTCTGAAGTTCGAATTGTTGGTCCAGGCTCTCAGAAAATTAAGATCCCTGGGATCCACACCTACGGCAACCCCCGCGACTCTTCAAATAGCCACGGTAGCGATTGTCGTCGCACGGCAACCGAACTTTCCACCTTTTGTGTGGGAACCGGTAATAGCACGCTGGCTTACGTGAGCCTAACAAGTCATTTCGCGTAAATCTCTATTATTTACATGTACGCATCAGCACCAGCTGCAAACAGCACAGCTGCATAAGTTAATCTAGAGACTCTTCAACGTGGTTGGCTGACTGTCGCCGGGTGCCGGGCCTGGTTGCTTGGTGCTTGGCCTTGATGCGACAACGGTTGGTGGATGCCGAATTTTACTGACTTAAACTGGCTAATTGTCACTAGGTTCTTTCAGCATCGCCACAATCGGCATTCAAACGATGGCCATAGAGCTAGCAGGATTGGCTCCGTTCTAGTTATTTTGGAGTTTTGTTGCTGGATTAATGATAGCAGATCGATATGTGACGCTGAAAATGGCAACGCTCATGAGTCAGACCTGCTCTCGTTCGCACACGTCTTAAACTTCATCTCTTGACTGGACAGAAATGGTCGTGTTCACGATGCTCTGGTGTCGCAAAACTGCGGTAACCCGGCTCCACTGAGGCCCTAAGCACAGACATGAGGTCTCGCTCGACGACTCTAAGAAGATGACGATGATGATGAGAAAGAAGAAGAGCACAGTAGCCAGTAGTACCACGTAAATGGTTGTTTGGTGATCCTGCTGACTCAACCGTCAGAGCAACAGTGACGAGGTCAACTCGAAAACCTTACAGTTGTCTTCTTAGCCAGCTCAATCTAGGTTCCACAATGATGCTTCCTTCCGCCAATCGCAAACAGTCACGATAAAGTCAACAACGGATGACTTCAGAAGCCATAAGACTAAGGTGGCGACCTCCAGGAAGCAGGTTCGAACGTCGAGGACATTGGAGAACCGCCAAATTTTCCATCAACCCAGTGATTGGTGATCGCATTGACGGACTATTTCGCGGTGTGAATAGCGGCTTTATTGCCGACAACTTAGACAGGATCGGTTTTCAGCATGAGAACTTTGAGCACCTTTTCCAAATTCGACGCCCAACCTACCACCTCGTTTTTTTCTGCAGGAGTTTTATTTTCATCCAGCCTACGCAGCGTCACTTGACTTTCCTTCTAAGGAATGAATTGCATCGTCAGCACAGAGATCGCGTAACAACAAGGCGTCCAGAGAAGATGGTATTTTCACCGAAATGTGCAAGCCTTGTATCGACACTGGTCCCTTGGCTCCATTATGCGATTGAGCAGGCATAAGGAGATGGGCTGGGTTCGAACGACTGGATTTCACACATCCTTGTGCCTCCGCGAGAAATATCACAGCATAAGCCTCATTGACGTCGCTGAAAACGTATTCGTCATTGTCACCCTAAGGCCATCTAGTGTTCATAAGTCTAAGACGGGACCCAACCAGGTCGCTTTTAATTTGAACGTAGATGGATCAATCCGATATCCATACTGCGGCACATTCCCGAATTCCGCCATGGTTTTGTGTACTTGACGAGTCTGTGTTGTTGGCCTTGGCACAGCGTTTGATTCCGTCTATCACGAGGCTCTGTAGCCGACAACGGAACCATACCATATCCCGACATAAATAATAATTGCAGTCATGGCCCACTATTCTCCTACCACCGCCTGAGTGTTCTTAGATCCAGCGTCCAACAAGATTGTATCTTGCCGCCTAATCTGTTCGAATACGCCATAAACTGGATTATCGGAAGGGCCCTACACACCTTTGACGATGTTGAATTTGCATTCAAGCGCCGGCTGACAAGCCCTGACTGCGCTGAAGACATCGCCGTGTTTGCGTCAAGTTTTTTTGAACG